GGAAGAGGAAGGGGGGAGGAGGAAGGGGGGAGGGGGAAGGGTGTAAGGAGGAAGAAGAGGGGGGGAGGGGGAGAGGGAGGGAGAGGGAAAGGGAGAAGGGGGAGGACAGTGGGAGATCTTTGAACCCCCAAAGTGTGGTGGCTGTTCTGTGTAGTCTCTTTGAGAACAATTATCAATATTAAAGCAGGTGGACTCTCAGACCTATGTTTGGTGCTTTCATTGGACTTCGTATGAGCAAAAAAAACTTGAAAGTGGTTCTAACTCTTCCCCATTCTTTCCAAAACTTTAAAAATATTGGCTAGAGATGCTCTTTCAAGTGTATTTCCACTTTTGCAGCCAAATCGGGATAACACCTATTGTATTATTGTTATATGTTCACATTAATTTAAAAACAAAATGATGCTTACATTCTTAAGTGCTTTTTGCTTGCTTAAAAAACCTACCTAGTCTCCTGCTATGTAATGTTAAGGAGGGGGTTGTGCAAAGTTATGTTTTCTCTAATCAATCCTATCTGTACTGTGCTGGCAGATTTAATTATCGATTGTAAACTAGAGACTTAGGGGGTTATTCACAAAGCTGCCAAAGGATCTAGCCGTAGCTTCGGCTGATCCGTCGGCTAGCTTCGGCCCCAGGACCCCTTCGGTTCAGGGCTGCTCTACGGGCTATTCACCATTGCCCGCACAGCTCCCGAAGTTGGCCGAGGGCCTCAGTCGAGCTGCAGACATATGCTGGTGAAATCAGCCGTACAAGCCTGAAGTGAATAGCCGAACAGCGCTCGGCTCACTTCACTTCGGGTCGGTTATTTACTCGGCTGCCTATGGCAGCTTTGTGAATAACCCCCTTAAAGATCTAGAAGCATTGTATGTTAGTGAGTGGAAGCTGTAGATGGAAAGTCTGAAAGATGGAAAATCTGCACAAAAGCCTCCACTAAAGAAACAGCTGAAAGGCAAATATATTTAAAAAAAAATTTTTCATTACGTTGTATGAATAGGAACACAGAACAAATATACAGAGGGGTTTTCTCAAATTTCACTGCAAACTACACTTTAAACTCATCCTGTGTCAGATTCTTGTGTCTGCTGCCACCTTTGCTCTTACACACATCCCCATATTACAGAGCTGTGAGCGATACAACCCACATCCAGGTCTTCACCCAGAATAACACAGATTATTTTGCTGTACTGAAGGCTTTATTTGGTCTAGGAACTCCCATAGTTAACATTAAAGTTGAACCAGATAGCTAAATTCACATACATTAACTGTTTTACGTGCCAAAGGATTTGTAATTTAAAGCCTTAAAGCACAAGCAGGTCCTCGACAACCCTGGAGTCTACACTGTCTTTGTGCAGTTCCCCAACCTTTGCTTGATATTGGACAGTGAAAGAGCAGTAACATACTGACAATGTCATCCCTCTGCTCTGCCCTCCAGTATGCATTTTCACTTTACTATACTGTCAGCAGTGTGCAAAGCAAAAGATCCTTAATTGCACTGACACCTCCTCTTCCAGTCTAAGGACTCACAGAATTACAGAAAGCTATAATTAAGACATATTCAGGTACTTTTGATAAGTATATGTAAAAAGGATGTACTAAATACATAACTGTATTAATTGATATTTTTTATGTTGGCCTGAAGCTAAGCTTTAAAAATCTATAATAATAGTAAAACCTTTAAATACAAACCAAACATGCCTCTATTTTTTAATAAGTCACAATAAGTAATCTGAATAAGTAAAATCTACTATTGCACACATATTGCCAGAGATTTTAGTGTTGGTAAATATATAAAATCTAAAATACATGTATAGTAAACATGTCAATCCTACCTAAATCTCCTTGACAGATATCTGTTCTGTTCGCCCCACCAATTATAAACTCAGGATTTTCGCATATTTCCTACAAGAGAATGGAAGAATATGAACAATGCAAGTACAAGACACATAAATACATAATTCAGAAATAGTTAAAAAAGACTATCACATCCACTACTACATGTTAAACTCAGGGCTTGTTCACACTATATCCAGTGCGTTCCAGCATAGTTAGTGGCCGGAACGCACTGGATTGCATAGAGCAGGGGCGCCCACGATTTTTCATCTGGAGATCTACTTTTCAAATGATGAGCTCAATGAGATCTACCCACGAAAAAACACCTGCATTCAGGGGAAGTGGCGGTGCATTGAAATCATGGGCACCGGAGCCAGGAACCGCAGGCAGGCCCCTCGCCCACAGTGCGATCGCCTGCACCTGGAACCTAGGCACATTAGTGCCTGTGTTCCAGTCCAGTGCAATCCGGAAAAATGCTGCAAGCACTATTTTTGCAGATCGCACTGGACTGGAATGCAGTCACCAATGTGCCTGCGTTCCGGGGGCGGGCGATCGCACTGTGGGCGGGGGGCATGGTTGTGGTGCCATTGACTTCAATACAACCCCACACCCCCTCCCGCCCCTGAACGCAGGGAATTGGCCGGCTTACATTCCAGTGCGTCCTAGAAGCCTGTCCTCCCACAGTGCTCGTGTGGCCGATGTTGCACATGGGGAGAGGTGTCCCGCCCCTTTCCATTTGCAGTGTCTGACCCATTCAGCCGGCAGCCGCACGAGCACCGCAGGAGCATAGCCGTAGCCAGCTCCTTTTGCGCCCGTGTCAAGAAAAAAAAACAGTGATGTCACACAGTGCCCTGCCTCCAGGGTTTTTTTACTATTTTTTATTTAATTTTTATTATTTAATTTTTAACTCTTGAGGGAGCTTTGGGAAATATTAGGGGTCTAAACAGCCCCCTGATATTTCCCTTTTAATATAGAAAAAGAGATTGAGGACAGAAAGTCCTCAATCTCTTTTTCTGCAGCCTCTGTTCTAAGTGAATGGAAAGCACAGAGGCTTCCCATTCATTCAGAAAATATTTTACTATCATCCAGTTTCTGAATGGGGAGGAGCCTCTGTAGTGAGTGCTTCTCCCCATTGAGAAACTCATGAATGAACAGGAAGTGATGTAAATCACATCCTGTTCATTCATAACTGGGGACACATAGCACTATGTGTCCCCAGTTATTTACAAACACTGGAGTGATCAGCTCATCGCGGGAGCTGAGCGGTGAGGAGAGAGACGCTCGGCCAGGTTCCGACAGCCGCCGCCTCTCTCTCCCCTCACCGCTCGCCTTAGTTCTGTGACAGCGGCTCCTTCCTCCGCCCCCTCCCGCCGCGGGCTGCAGGGCTTCTGTCACTTCTCGGATCCCGCTGCATCCAGATGGGGAGAGCAGCAAGGATCCAGAGAAATACCATGGGCGGGAGAAGAGGCCATTGCGATCTACCACTGATCGCTACGCGATCGACTGGTACATCGCGATCGACTTTGTGGGCACCCCTGGCATAGAGCAATCCTCCTTGCGTTCTGTGGTGGAAGGGGGCAATGCCATCGGTCCGGTGCGATCGCAACATTATTTTGAAAAATGTTTTATCAAAATATCATTCTGTTTTAAATGATATTATGTATCTGGAGGGTTCCCTAGCAGAGGACAAAGGTCGCACAGAAAGGAAAATCTTCGTTGGGGCAAGTCCTCACCTGATGAGGTTTGTCGTACTTAAGGTATAGGTCCTTTCCATCTACAGCTTTTGGTTGCCTTAGTCATTTGCTACCCCCTGCTGCGGTACTCTATTGCCCTTTTCCACCTCATACAATCCCCCCCTCTCACTACCTTCCTTCTTCACCCCCTTCCCCCAAACTTTCTCTTCTTTTAGCTGAAAGCCTCCGACAGATGGTCACGAAAATCAGAGATGTGGAAAATGAGCAAAAAGAAAAAGAAGGAAGGATTTGCAGGTGCCTGACTCAGTAGACCTGGCGGCAGACATGGGGACGTATTTTCGTAAAGTCGGCAGAACGCTCCCCTGTCAATTGTCGGATATAACAGAGACAGGATCGAGCGGTGCTACTTCCCCTGCCGACTTACTGACGAGCAGAGAACGGGGGGAGAGGAGCCGAAAGGAGAGGGCAGCAGTGAGGAATGAGATGAGTAGCGAGCCTGCCTAACCGCATTGTACATGAGATTACAGAGAGGGGAGAGACAGAGATCACAGAGCCCAGCAGGACACAACAAAGGAGATGGAAGATACTGGGGAAGTACCTGAACGTTTTACCAACAAATGAGGACCTGGATTTAGGGTTTAGACGCCTGGACGAGCTACACAGAGCAGTTATGAAAGAACTACGATCAGACTTGCATACTTTCCATAATAGAATAGAAACAATGGAGTCGATAATACAGCCTATGATTGACACACAGACAGATGTACAAGAGGCTATGAAGTGACCACAAAATCAGGTAGTAACCCTCTGGTCACGGGTAGATGACTTAGTAGATGACTTAGAGGACTGTCAAAGATGGAATAACATCCGCCTGCGGGGCATACCGGAGCTCATGGGACAAAACAATTTATTGTCTACAGTCCAGGAGATCTTTAATGTATATCTGTCATGCACCGTTGCTATTTCTGAATTTCTGGGGATCACAGCTGCGGTTCTCAGTTCCCCCTCGTGGTTTAAGTGCGGTAGTTAGACTAGAATCCCAGGCGTCACTCTCAGTCAGGAGCGGAGAGTTTGGGATTCGAGCATCATTGGCCCCATAACCCAAAAGGAAGAGCAAGTGCAGCGGAGTTATTCCTTCATAACCAAGAGTTACAAGTGAAAAAAAAGGATACTTAAAGTCCGTCACAGAAGTAGCCACTTATGAGGAGATAGGTCCCTCTAGAATCTCTGGGAAACAGGTTCACAGCAATACCATATACAGCTTAGCGGAGTAGATGCAGAGCTTAGCAAGTCCATACACAGCACATGGAAGCACAAGTCACAGTCAGAGGTGTGGATTACATGGAGAGGTAATGTAAGCATACAGGCATTTCCTTTTGCTGCGACATTTGTCGCAGCAAAAGGAACTTATAATTCGGAAGGCCAGGGAACAAGGTGGTCTCGATTATAAAGGGTCCCGCATCTCCCTTTTCCCAGACATCTCACGAAGGACGTTAACAAAAAGAAGGGCAAAGCGTCCAATAACACAGAGGCTGAGGGACGCAGGAATCCAGTATCGATGGGGGTTCCCATTTCACCTGAGTGTAAAAAAAATGGCTGGCTTATCGTTATTCACTCACCAGAAGATGTACAAACATTTTTGACGCAAATGGATTTATCATCGGTAGAGTTAGAAAATTGTCCAGATCCACTAATGCCGGTGTATAAGAGGAAACCGCAATGGGATCCCTGGAAACCAGCAGATCCTTCAGCTAGAAAGACTGAGCCGGACAAGGAGGATAGGCGACCAAATAGACATAAATAAGGAGACTCCAGTTTTACATCAATTTGCCTGTCTTTTCCCTTTTTTTAAAATCTTTTTTCCATCCCCTTTCCATTTTTGTTTGCTTTTCCCCTCCCTTCTGGGAGGGTAAATGAGTTATAAGTACAACTTGGTTGAAATATTCATGAAATGTAAGACACTGCCCTTGGGAAGTGATATCAAGTAATGTATTGCATTACATATTTGAAGTTCTCTGCATTTAATGTTAGTACTTATGGCTCATTAGAGAGTCGTCTAATAACGATAAACACTTTGCATTATTCCTAGTCCCATGCTTACCCCGCTTTATGCTTGTTTTTTTTAAATATCAATATGTGCCCTGGTTGGACAGGGGTAGATGGAGTACTAGATTTGTGGGGTGAGCGATGGGTGGAGGGGGGTATAGAATTTTTAGAGTTCTGGAGGGTAAGGAAAATGGCAGTAAGAGGAGGATAGGGAGGGAATTAAATAGGTTATGGGATATACACGGATGGTATACTTGTGATAAATACAACAAGACACTTTTTTAAAAGACACTGGATTCGTAAAGGAGAAGGAAAGTTGGGGATATAAATAGACAAATTACATATATGTGAGATTTCACAGGGTTAGGATAGAGGTGATCACTAGTATATATTAATCAAAGGAAAGATACACATAAAATTACACTAAAGATAACACACCTATGGCTTGTGGGTTAAAATAATGAGATGAAAAGGGAGATAGCACAGAAGGTGGGGAAATAAGGACTTGAAGGGAGAACAAACATGCTATTATTTATTTATGAGGGTTTTAACAGGGAGGTAATTAAGAAATTCCCTTCCCCCTATACCATTCACTCTACTAAATAACTGTCTACCAGGGTAATATGAGATATTAAAATAATTGATTCGGAGCTACATGCAGGTGGTTAGTTAGCTTCTCAAAGGGTTGGGAGAGGTGGGGAGGAGTGGAGGAGGAGGGAGAGGGGAAACAAGGGAAAGTGGACACCTATAGCATTAGGAAAATAAAACAGGCGTGGGTTTGACTTATTGCTTGGGCTATCTCCCCCGGGTAGAAGCCGGCATTGCTGATATAGGCTCGGAAGCCATACTCTGTCCTGGAGAGATTGAACTGGTGTATGAGGATAAATGTTTGGTGTGGGATTTTTTTTGTTTTTTGTGCAGGGGTATGTAGGAATAAAGGTGAAAATTATTTTATGCAGGAGAGAATGAATCACGAGAACAGATTAGTGATTAAAGGGGAATATAAGTACAATGAATAACATAAAGTTTGGATCCCTAAAAGTTAGGGGCCCTAATGTACCACATAAATGCTCCCAGATTTTTTGTGATATGTATATTCAGCAAGTACTTGAGTACTTTACTTACAATAAACACACTTCAAATGCTCCTCGATTCCTAAAATGTCCACTAGATATTATTCTAAGTGGCACATGAGCAATTATGCCCAGAGTAAATCACCAGGGGTAGCTATAGGCTTCCATACATCATTACAGGTAACAGATATCCAGGTAGCAAGTGATGAGGAGGGGCGGTTCCTCTTTGTGAAGTGTAGAATATATGACAAGCAGT